GTTGTGGATTACCAATTCTCATCAAACTATACATAAAATAAATATCATTTTATTGTATATCAATTATACCTCAATAAAGTAAATAAAAATAAGCCTTTTGCAAAAAAATGGAGTAACATTGCAGTAGAGGAGTATGACAAACACTACCTCAGCCAAGTGATCAAGGTCAACATCAACAGTAATAAGTCATGTTGATAGCATGTACTGTTGTTATAATGATAAGAATCACACTTTATCTCTGTGGCCTTCCTTCCAAAAACACATAACTCCAGTGTGATCATGAGAAAAACTTCAGACAAATTTTAATAGAGAGGCAATCTGTAAAATACCTGACCAGTACTCCACAAAACTATCAAAAACAAGAAGTCTGAGAAATTGTCACATCTAGAGCAGCTTAAAGGGAAATGGTAATGAATATAATGTGAGATTGGGGATGGGATCCTACACCAGAAAAAGTACAGTAGATAAAAACTAAGGAAATCTGAATAAAGTATGGACTCTAGTTAATAGTGATATATCAATATTGGTTCATTAATTATGACAAATATACCACACTAATGTAGGATGTTAACAATAGGGGACACTTTAAGGATATATGGGAACTCTCTGTACTATCTCAGCAGTTTTTCTATAACTCTCAATCTTTTCTAAAACAAAGCATTTACTAAAAATAAATTAGTACTGACATTGAGTTTACAGAGTATTCAGAAATCTACAGACTTAAGTTTTTTTTTTGTTTGTTTCTGTTGGTTTTCAATACTGCTAACCACAAACATGCCAAAGACATTTTATTAAGTCATTGCCATCTACTCCTAGACCTTTGATCTCATAAATGACCTTAAAATCTGCTTGGGACATGGTCGGGCCAAATACGATTTAATTAAATTAGATAAAAAGTTTTGAGCGCTTACTATATGCCACACATTGAACTAGTTATCGGAGACATGAAAATGGATGAGATCTGGTCCTGACTCCCCAGGAGCTCAGAGTCTTGAAGGTGGGCACCATCTGATGTAATTTATTATAGTAGTTATTTATTATAGGATCATTGAGGTGGAAAACATTTTTCAATGGAAGAGACTTTCTTTTCCACGAAACAGATTGTTGTGATTCTGGCCTAGGGAGAGCCCAAGTCTGAATTAAAGTGGTAAAGGGCTATTTTGAAGAAGAGAGGAATACAGGTTAATAGAAAGTAAGAATATTTCTTCAACATGCTTCTTCATCCTCATTACTCTTTCAATGTTGGCCTGTGGGAGCAGTTGGGAGAGTTTTGTGAGGCATGATGCTTGCTTTCTGTAATAATAGCGGCAGAGCAATTGTATTCTGCCAGATTATGGTCTGAGCTCTAAGTCTTCCTACGGCTGTGCTTATGCCCAAGTCTCCACATCTGGACAGATCTGTGGAAGGTTCAGGCCAGATGTTGTATAAGTCACTGAAACTTCCTGCATCTCCATTTTTTTATCTGCAAAGAAAAGAAACCCGCAAACCTCATGGGATGGTTGGGGTAGGGTAAATGAAAATTTTTTATAAATGGTTAGGTGCTTCCCAAATGTTGATGTTACTATCTAGAATCTCTGTGTTGATCTAGGACTTCCATGGACAACTTTTATCTTAGACTTTTTTTTTTTTTGCAGTCGTAGAAAATTACCTAGCATAAGGGAGATGGCATAGCATGATGATTAAGAACACAGACTTTGGAGTCAGTGAGACCCTGGGTTTAAATCTCAGCTTTGCAATTTAACAGCTGTGTGGATAGAGCTGTGCTTCCACTGGAGGTTCCTGTGGAATAATGTACAGTTAAGTACAAAGTATACTGCCTGTTGTGCAGCAAGCACCTGATAATGAAAGTTGTTATCTTATCCCATTCCTATGTTTAACCAGAATGTAAACTCCATGAAAGCAAGAATTTTTATTTATTTCATTCACTGGTGTATTCCAAGTACCTGGAACAGTAACTAGTATATGGGCAGTACTTATTAAATACTTGTTAAATGAATGAATAAAGCTGTGGGCTTCTCTTCAGGCTCTGTCTGCCACACACATATGAAAGGCACTCTGGTAGGGACAACTCTGTGGCTCGAGGATTTTTGTGTAAGTTTCTAATATCCATATAGTTACATTAAATGCAGATAATGCATTCAGGCTCCCCAGTTGTGGTGGACTGAAGATGGCCACAGGTTTTTGACATTCTCAAGCTACATGGAAAGGCTTTGAAGAATTATGCATCATGTGGAGAAAATAGATAACTGGAACACCAGCTATAGAGAAAGTTTCTAGCTATGGAGAAAGAAGCTACAAACTGTTTGGGGACCATGAAACTTGGACCATGACTCAGAGTGGTCAGTTATCAATTTTCATCTTCCCCTCCCTTTGTTTTCAGAAATGAAATTGACGACCTGCCCACTTTTAGCAGAGAAGAGAAAGGGGCAACTTGCCTCATAAATGAACCCAACGAATCCCTCTTTGCCGTAACACTATGAGATGGGTGGGCCCACAAGTATACCATAATATCTTTGATGACCACTGTAGTAGCCAGCCACCAGGGTAGTCCAATGATCCTTATCTCCTTGTATTCAATCCTTCTATAGATTTTTCTCAGATAAATATGGCTGACCTGAGTAAACTATTAAGATAGTGTGGGAATGATGGAATGTGATTCCTGAGGCTAGGTCATAAATGATGTTGCAGCTTCCATCTTGCTTCTCTTGGATCACTTGCTCTGGGGGAAGTAACCTGCTATGTTGTGAGCACGCTCAAGCAGTACTATGGAGAGGTCCAAGTGGTAAGAAACTAGGGCTTCCTACCAACAACCAGCATTAACATGCCAACTATATAAGTGAACTATTATGGCAGTGGATCATCCAGCCTCATTCAGGCCTTCAGAAGAATGCAGAACTGGCTACTGACATCTTGACTGCAACTTCATAAAAGGTCATGACACAGAATAACTTAGCCAAGCTGCTTACAAATTTCTGACCAACAGAAAATGTAAGATAATAAATGATAATTTAAAGTTTTGGGATAATATGATAGACAACAAGAATATAGTCACTTTACCCATCTATCCTGTATTTTTGTTTCTTTGATAGTTTGTTGCTATGTTCACTCAGGTTTAGCTCGTAGTTGGAACTCAAGAGCTTTAACAACAAAATTGTTTTCTAGTTATGGTTTCTCAGGAAGCTGGATCCTGCTTTATTGATATTCTATACTTCCTTTAATGGTAGGTAGACCTCCACCTTGTTATATAATTTACAAAAGCCAGGATCTTAGAAATGGCAACACTCATAAGCCAGCACAAAGTTGCCTAATGGTCCTATGTTTTCTGAACAATATTAGTAATATTTCTATTTCAGCCTTATATAACTCTAACTTAAAAAAATATTTTTGTGGAGAAATTTCGTGTTGAGGCCCAACTAGGCCATATGTTCAGGGCATATCTCTCTCAAACACATGCATGTACAGACCTACAAAGAAAAGGGATGATGGATGAGTGAGAAAATTAGAGACTCTAATCTTTAATAACTAGCAGTAGAAACTCATCATACCTTGACTTGGGCTCTGCTTTCCATGTCTTCTTTCCAAATAGTGCTTTGTCAATAATACCAGGAACTTCTTGCTTAGGTTTTCTTAGAAGTTACTTTCCTAGATGAGTGGTTCTCTAAGAGTTCAGAATTAATCAGAGCAGGGGCAGTTATCTACACCATAGAGAGGAGGCTTTTCATGTAGAATTTCTCATTCCCCATCTGTCCATATAGCTGTGCTTTCAAAAGTTGATGACTGCCTCAGTATAAATTAATGAGGGAGTGGTAGAGAGGAGTCCTAGAAAGTTCCACTCCATGCTTCTAGAAAGACAAAAAAGAATAGACTTTGATAAGGCAGGGAATAATTTCATCAAGTCTAAGGACTTTTTGTCAGCTGAGGCCAGAGAACCCAAGAATGGATTGATAAGCTAGGAGTGTGCTGTTATCACTCCAGAAGAATTTTAAGAGAATTAGCAATGATCCCACCTGGATGGTTAACATTCCTTATCTTATAAGAAAGACACTGGTTCATATAATTTAAAAAATATTTTGTCCAACTCTAAAATTCCATGAAGAATCCACCTGGCATAATTTCTTCTCTAGATGACATACTACTTTCCATTTGTATGAAAACCCAAGAACTTTAATAGTTACTGTCTTTATTCTTGTTGTCTTGCGTGAATGTTGTTATAGTAATACACATTGATTCTGTTTTTCTACATTTTATTTCCCTTCATATAATTTCATAAAGTAGGTTTATGCCCAACTTGAATGTCTCACGAATATATAGGGAAAAAGTGGCTAATTACGTTTGTATCAAAATAAGTTCAATAAAGGTGAACAGGAACAGCAATAGAGATTAAAAGTAACCCTAATTGATGGGTTATAAACAGGATAAGAAAGGGAATAATTTATGGGCAACTGGCAGCTGGAAAGGTAGTGAATTGGTAAGACCATAGTCACAGACCTTTAACTGACAGCTCTATCATCTGTATAGAAACCATGTGTAAATAAGAACAAATGGTTTAGACGCAGAGCTCACTATGACGCTGCAATTGTGTCATAAAAAAAGAAATGGTAAAAAAAATCCATTTAACCATCATAGTTTATATTTCTTAGTCTCCTACTAGTAGAGAATATTTTCTCAGCCATGGCTTAATGAATACTTTATTTTTATGACTCAAGTGCAGAAGCTTCTACAACAATGAGATAACAACAGGACCACAAACCTCTACCTAATAATTATCCTGTACTGGCACGTTCCAGTCAAGTCTCTCAAGCAAGCAAGGAAACAACCATAAAAATGATTTGCATGCATTTGTATGGACTTGGCTTCTGTCACATGTCCACATTTCTTTAGCTCAGGTTGTATGGGTGCTGGTGCCAAAGGCCCTGTATTTTCAGGTGTCTCCCATGTGGCATATCTGCAATGATTCAGATTGAGGATTATAATCTGCTTAATTTGTCCTCTTTCGTAAGGTCACCACATTAATCCCTGATAATTGGAGAGGGATGAGAATCTTCACAAACACCAGAAGGTATGTGACACGTGCTAGTTTGAAGGAATGGAGAGGAGGCATCAGGTCATCTCTCACAACCCATGCTGCAAAGCAGGGTTGTATGGAAAATCCACCTTGATCTATCCACATGATGCTCAGCTCATAAATGAAGATACAGAAATGACAACAAAGAAACATACATTACTTGGGGCTCCTTGAGCAAGCAAGTATGTTTGTGTTCCTATGACCAGACTTCGGAGCGAGTGAAGGGTCTTTACTGTTGTGCATGAACATGTTTATCTGTAGGACATGAATGTCTCTTACAACTTTGTTTTTCTTAACAACATTTCTGTTTTTCTCTTTATAAAAGTAATTTATTGATCAAAGTAGAAAATTACATAATATTCCAAAATTATAAAGTAGAAAATAACAGTTACCTATACAACACCCCTCAGAAATAACCACAGTTAATATTTGGTGCATTTCATGAAAACTTTTTTCCATTGTGTGCATATTACAAAATTAAGATGAAATGCATGCAATTTTCTATCTTTTCTTCACTCAACATTAAATTTTTACTCTCATTAAAATTTAATTTGAATGCATACTCTTCTATAATCTAGAGGTGCTGTATGAGTAAGTGCTGTGGAGTCAGACAGATCCCAGTTCTGGTCCTGATTCTTTCAGCTGTGAATGGGCAAATAGCCTCAGGTTCACCATTTATAAAATGGGGATAATATTAACTACTTCATATGTTTTCCTTAAGGATTAAATAAAATAATATATGTAAAGCCCTGCCATAGTTTCCATAGATGCTAAGTGTGAAATATATGTTAGCTACTGCTGAATCATTGCTCAGTTCTTATAAATGGAGTCTGTTCCCTATATCTTTGCTCTTCATAATGTTGCCATATTTGCCTACACTCAAAATTATTTCCTTAAGATAAATTCTTAACATTGGAATAAAGGGCATAAACATTTTAAAGGCTTGATTTAAATGCCTTTCTAAGTTAGTTGTATCTGTTTTCACCTACACTAACATTGCATAACATTGGTCACCTGGCTCCATCCTTGAGAGCACTATAAATTATCTTTTGTAACTGTGCTAATGCAATAGACAAATAATAATGTCTCATTTAAATATGAAATTTGTTGCTTACCTAGTGACATTGCATATTTGTTTGTTCATATATTTGTCTGCTTTTGTGAATTGCTTGCCTAGCAATCAGTGCATATTACCACGTGCCATTTTTGTGCCAGACACTGCTAGATATATCATAAGAACAAATTTGTGTCAAGATAGATAAGATCCAAGCTCTGATAACATACCATTTATTAAAAATGCTCCTCATGTTCATACACTGTACTAAATGCTTAACTTAATGATAATGTGAAAGACTTTGGGTTCCCTGGTTAAAAATTAGCCTCCTTTTGGTAACCCAAAGTCTGTTTTGCAACTTTGTTATTTGAGCCACATTCTTCAGAATCAAGGATTCACGTTTGTATATTCTGGACAAGTAAACTGCTATGGTATGAATTTAAATTTCATACACATACATGAAACAGAGATCGGTGGATGGACTCACACAAAAGGTATAGAAAAGAGATGTGTAGTGCTGAATTAATAACACTTGGGTGGCCAGAAGAAGCTGAAGAATATATAATCCAAACTAAACAATTTTAGCATGTATAAAGTCAGTGTACTTAATCCAAATTAAGGTGGTGTTCTTTGAATCCTCAGGTTGAACAGCCTTTCCTACATTTGACAACTGAAATGGAAGCATCTTGTGGAAGACACCCACCTCAAGTTGTAGGCACTCACCCATTCGCACACCATTGTTCAGTTATATCCTAGATTAAAACATCAACTTTGGTTTGACAACTGCACGGTGGCATCTTTTTCGCCTGTGTAGGTAAATTAGAACAATCCAATAGCAGGTATAGGTGAAAAGTTTCTCCTTATTTCCAATGGTAGGTATAGGAGTCCCCAACATTGTACAATACTTTCAGGGAGTTGTCTTTCACAGGGATATTTACATCCCCTTCTGATGTACTGGCACCTTCCAGTTTAGCAGGATATTTTTTATTGCCCTCTGCAAAAACATCACACAGAAGAAAGGCTAGCTTGTGGTCATTCTGCCAATTCATATTTTTATTGCAATTCACAGCATTCAAATAATTTTCTCATATATTATCACAATGATTCTGGGAGGTACTAAAAGCTAGTTCCGCAAATATCACCAACACATGAAAAGACAAAACTGGAATTGTCTAAGAGGGGTGAAAGTAAGGTCAGAATTTATTGAGAATTGGAAGTTTGGTTTGAGGCAAGTTTTTCGATGCAGGGCGACTTGATTAGGATTAGATAAGAATCACCATATGTTCAGGATTGGTAAAAACAGCAAGATGAAGATTTTGAGATAAGAGATTCAAGGAATATTAAGGTATAAATTGTCTATCGATATTTTCCACTGAAGAGTTGATGGTTCTGTTGGTAAGGTCCTATAATAAACAACCAAACCATTTGCTTGGGAAGGACAGTCCTGGTAATACTAATTAGTAATTAGTAATACCAGCAAAGACAGTGGACACAGAAAAATGGCATGATGATAGAGGCTCTGTTTATCCCTCTGGTGACCAAATTAAAGTTGTGACAGAAACAAGGAGCAAACAGCAAGGAAAATTGCTTGGAATCTATATGAACAAGCCATGCAACTAGGGAGAAATATAAGAAATCACCCTGCAATGGCAGAAGGTAGGATGGGGTGAGGATGCGAGGCTGCCAGTCCTGAGCGAGTGAGTGGGACAGAGGCTATAGCAGCGGCAGCCAACAGCTGCAGATGCCTCTTAAAGGGGCTGTGTCCGTGAGCAGACTTTCTTGTTGAGAGACCTACTTGCTCTAGCACCAGCACTAGTTCGGCTGTGCAGGGGGCATCAGGCACTTACAGGGGGACACTGAGTTGTCAGAGCGACGGCAAAGGGGAGATTTGCTCTGTATAGAAGTGCTGCAGGTATCCATTGCTCCTCTGTTGAGCCCTCCCCCTTCCCAGTGCCTGGACTGAGCACTGCCATAGTGGAGATGTCATCAAACTGGATGAGAGGTCACTCTGCCCAGAGGATTCCTTGAAACTCCGCCTCCCCCAACTTGCAGCCCCACCCATGCCACATCCAGGTGTGCCCTCGCTTAGTCAGGTGCCCCTTGCTAAACAGCGCCTAGAATCACACTGGTGGCAACTGGCCTCGGTTTGAGGCAACTATAAGCACAACATCTATGGATGCTTGCTGAATCTTAACAGGTGGCCCTGGAGGGGCAAAGGCTGGGTCTAAATTTGGCCTGTAGCTGAACCCCTCTCAGGACTGTGCCACAGGACACCTACCACACAAAACCACACTAATAAGACCAGGAGACTTAAGAGCTTTGAAAGACAGCCCAAATGGGAAGACAAAGAAGCTGAAACTGTAGGAGAGAACAGAACAGAGATCTAGAAATCATGGAGTCAAACAATCTAACAGATGCAGAGTTCAAAACACTGGTTATAAAAATGCTCACTGAACTTAGGGGAAGTGTAGATGAATTGAGTGAGAACTTTAACAAAGAGATTTAAAAAACCATAAAAATGAAGATGGAAATTGTAAAAAGGAACCAGTCAGAAATGAACAACACATTATCTGAGATGAGAAGTATATTAAATGGAACAAACACAGTGGATAAAGAAGAGGATCAAATGACCTATATACATGATGGGGAAACTAAGGACATCCAATCAGAATGGCAAGAGAAAAGAAGCCAAGTCTGTAATAATAATTTAAGGAGCCTATGAGACACTATTAAATGTAAAAATATCCGTGTCATAGGGGTACTGGAAGAAAAAACAAAACAACAAGACATTTAAGAGCTATTTGAAGAAATAATGATGGAAAACTTACCTCACCTGGTGAAGGGAATAGACATAAAACTCCAGGAAGCTCAGATTCCCAAAAACCAGGAACCCAAAGAGGCTACACCAAGACACATCATAATTAAAATGCGAAAGGTTAAAGACAAAGAGAATCTTAAAAGCAGCAAGAGAAAATCAGATAGTTACCTATAGGGAGTACCCATAAGACTGGCAGCTGATTTCTCAAAAGAAACTATGCAGGACAGAAGGGCTTGACACAAAATATTCAACATGATGAAAACCTAGCATCGACAACCAAGAATACTTTATCCAGCAATGCTATCATTTAGAATTGAACGACAGATAAAGAACTTCCCAGACAAAAATAAATTAAAGGAATTTATCATCACCAAGCCAGTATCACAGGAAATGTTGGAGAGACTTCTTTAAGAAGAAAAAACATGTATCAAAAACATGAGACTCACAAATATAGTGGACAATTTGGTGGCGGACAGAGGAGGAAGATTGGGGGGCCTGGGAGAATGGGTTGAAGGATTAAATAAGTACAAATTAGTACTTGATTGTTGGTCACGGGGATGGGGAACATGGCATAGGGAATGCAGTTAGCATTAATATGACGGCTAGGTGGAGGGCCAAGAGAGGGAGGGAACAATTGCGGGGATCAGTTAATGAACTATATAAGTGTTTAACCAATGTACTGTATACTTGAAACTAATTTAAATAAATAAATTTAAAGAATAAAAAAATGAATAAAGAATGGTAATAACTACATTCCTATCAACAAGTACCTCAGATGGAAAAGAATTAAGTGATCCAACCAAAAGATAGAGTGGCTGAATGGATAAGAAAACAAGACCCCTACATATGCTGCCCACAAGAGACTCAGTTCAGATTAAAAGACACACACAGTGTCAGTGCCGAGCTGATCGAGAAGGGTAGCTTTCAGTGGTGAGATGCCCAGTTGCACAAGAGGCCTACATGAGAATGAAATGTCAGGTACCAACTTTATTGTGGGGAGCACACTTCTGTTTTGGGAAGTGCAGTCTATTGCGGGGAGCGAGCTTCTGCTTCTGCTCTCGTTCTGCTCCCCTTTTTTTGTGCTCTCCTTCTGTTCCCTGGGGGACCACATGGCTCCACACATATCAGAGTACAATAGTGGCATTCAACCCCACATGCATGATATAATAAGTCGAATCATGTTTACATATTTTAGGTGCAGGCACTCTGCTACACCAATGTAACATTCTAAATCCAGGGTCTATTACTAGCCATGAGCCTGGATCACAGCCATACCTGGGACCAGCCAGGCCTGGGATCTACAGTCCACCCCTACAGGGTCATGGCGTGGGATCTGGCCCAGAGGGCACTACCTTGGACACACAATCCACTTGCCATTCCTGGAGTGGCTTAGCTTCGAGGGGCATCATCCCTGGGGTACTCTTTACTTGCCGTCTCCCTGAGTGCTGCTCAGCACACCAGGAGCAGTGTGACAAGGCATCTTGTACTTGTGCCCGTGTCAATGATAGCCCCCATTATTTCGCTACTTGTTTCATGGTACAAGCCATCTGTGTACCAGGCATCCTCAGGGATGGGAGTCTGACCCTCTATATAGGGACTTAGTATGTCTCCCATCTCATCAGGCTCCACTAGGAGCTCTGCTTGGAACTGCACTGGTCCTAATAAGGGGTGCAATTGACCTGACGGGGTTTGCAGAGAACTGCGGCTGCTGCTCCAGGTACATTCCTTCACCCGGACAGTGTGGGGTCTGTGCAATTCCCATACAGGGAGTCTTCCCTAAGACCGCAGCCACCCTTCCATGGGGTATGTGGACTGCAAGGTTATGGGATTAGGGCCAGTGATGGCCTCACTGGCCAACAGGTCTGCATATATGGCAGCCAGTTGCTTCTCTATCAGAGAATACCGTGCTTCCACACTTATCAAAGAATACCGTGCTTCCGTGCTTTTCCACAATTGGGACCGGAAGCCTATTGTCACCTTCTGGGACTTGTGCTTCTGCCACAAGCACCATCCAAACCCTGCATCATCCTTCACCATAAGCAAGAATGGGAGGGCTAGATCTACAACGCATAGAGTTTGGGCTTATGCTACAGCTTGCTTTGTAGCCTTAAAAGCCTCTTCTATTTCTGGGGTTCAATCCCACTGGACACCCCATCGCACTAGATGATGCAGGGGTTGCATCAAGAAAGCCAAATGGAGGATGAACACTCTCCAAAACTCCAGCAGTCTCAAATAGGTTTGGAGTTGCTTCACAGTCTCAGGTTGCGGAGAATGGGATGAAGGATTAAAGAAGAACAAATTAGTGGTTGATAGATGGTCATGGGGATGGGGAGCACGGCATAGGGAATGCAGTTAGCATAAAGAGATTAGCTAGATGGAAAACCAGAGGAGAGAAGGAACAATTAGGGAGATTGTTTTATAAACTATATAAATGTCTAATCAATGTACTGTATACTTGAAACTAATAAAAAATTGAATCCTTACTAGATGTTTGATGTGACATATAAATCATTAGTAAGGCACTGGCTGCTATATCAATAGCACGCAGGAGACAGAAATTATTTACTGTTTTTGCTTTAAACATTTTCATAGGGATGTCTTTAAGTGGGAGCCAAAGAGAAAGGGAGAGAAAGAGGGAAAAGTTGACAGCGCGAGTCTTCTTTCTTTCTTTCTCTTT